ATTGGCTCCATTGCATAGCTATCTGTGGTAGCACTACTCACATACTGAAAGTCCCGAACAACCCGGCAGAAATACCCAAATAATCCTTATCGCAGGGTAAAATACAGCTATCAGCACATGGGCCATAGTCGGAAGGCAGGAGGCTAGCCAGTAGTCCCCTCCAGGCACAAGTGGCGAAGGGCACTTCGTCACACACTATACTAAACTTAATTGTCTCCAAACACAAAACTCACATTTTTACAAACACCCCAAAAGTACCTCAAAATACACAAAAACACCCTAAAGGTTACATCCCCTGATAGCCCTGATCTGGATGACCAACATATCCAAAAATCACCCAGGTCAGTTCAGGAATTTCCTGGAAGTCATTTATTTGACCGACCGCAGGCATGGTCCCATGCCCAAAACAGTTCCAGAGAATCAGGGCTTGCGGCCGGTCTAGTTCGGTAGTTTGAAAACGAACAAACTACCGAACAGCATCAATAGTTTTACCCTGGAGCTTGTTCTCCTCATCCAGACAAACGATTTCACCGAACAGTGCCCTTCTAAGTTGTATAGAACCGAAAGCAGGCGAAGTCCAGCTGTGTTCAAGAGTTTCTGTGTCCGATTTTAGTTCCATGAGATTCATGCCCAAACACTGCTGCCTGAGTTCATGTGAACAAGATGGCTGCCACCTTGTAGTTGTACATAGGAATTGTGGCCACCTAGATGAACAATTGGAACACTGCGGTGAGAAAAGTTCTAAGTTGTTAATAGGTGTTAACAAGCTCCAGGGTGGTCTCTGGTTTGTGCGGTTGTTCGGTAACTGAACCATATAATCCCAATTGTACGAACGGAGACTTTAACATTATATTTCACAGGGTCCATAGTCTGTGGGCAGGAGGCTGGCAAGCAGGCTCCTCCAGGAGCTTGTGGCAAACTCATGTGAAAAGGGGAGTTTGTAACACCCTCCCTTCCCTTTTGTCTCGCCTTTTCACACCCTGCCTTGAATCCCTCCCCATTACTCCTTTTCCCTGTGCTTTTGTCCTTTTCACACTTTCCCACAGTCCTCCATTTTACAGCATTCCTGTTGTTTACTTTCTGTGCCAGGCTGGTGCTCACTTGTGCGGCTCTGCGTATCTGGGGATGTGAGGCCATTTCATGTTCCTGCCTCTCATCCTTGACACACAGCTTCAAGCAGTAAAGTTGAGGAAGAGAACTTTCTGACTTAACGGGACCTGTGTCGATGCGTTTCCCTTGGCTGACTGTGGTGATGAAATTTCCTTTGAAGGCAGGCGCACGTGCTCTGTTATTACTACATATTATATTGTATGCTACGGGCCAGTGTCTTGCATTTGCTGGCCGGATTTGACCTCCAGACCTGAGGTTGTGTAACCCTAGTATAACGTTTGCAATTTTTAGGTGACTTTTTTAATTAGTTTATTAAAGCCAATCTGTCACTCTTCAGTATTCCAGATCCAGATCTATTCTCTGTAATCTAATTGAAATTCCAACACAATCTAAATATACCATAAGAGAAAGTAGGCACTACTTTGTTTTATGTAGAGCCGGAGTTTGACAAAAAGCAGTGCTTCGTAGTCAACGTTCGTGAAATCCCAGCAGTCGTCACAAATAACCACTGTGGGATTCAGACTCTATCTAAGGAGAATCTCACAGTCTCTTGGGATCTTCTGTAGTCCTCAGTATTTTACTTTCGCCCATGTGCAAGAGTACAACACTGACATGGCCAAAAAGGACAGCAGTGTCAACATGGCGTCAGCCCTGACGAATTGCCTGAGATGAGTAAAACATTGTCCCCTGCATCCACATTGTATCAGTTTTGGGGGTCTTCAAAAAATAAAGACTCTCAAAATTGTCAGATCTCCTTGAAATAATTTTGCTAGTGTTTCAACTATAAAGGTATCTATTTTACTAAACTGTTTGGATTTCAAAGTGAATTTCACACTTTAGTCCAAATTTAAAGAATATTGCTATCTGTTATATTTTCAGTTTTGCTGCTTTGACATAAAGTTAGACATTCACTCTGATTACTTGACAGAGTCCATTCTTAGTACTTGGTCAGAATAGTTTGTGTCACTTTAAAGGGACAGTAAAACCTGTATTTATTTCCTGAAATCAATGTGCACTCTGTTGAACTTCAAGGCTGTCCCAAACTGTTATAGGTCAACTGCTGAAATGTAAGTGCCATCATGAAGAATGCAGGCAGACTGTCATAAATATTGTATTAAAGACATTGGGTCCTCACCATGCTACCATGCAATTGGAGACAGCTTCCCTTAAAGGATCACTATAGGGTCAGGAACACAAACATGTATTCCTGACCCTATAGTGTTAACACCACCATCTAGCCCCTCTGGGCCCCTTATGCCTCCATAAAAATAGCAAAATCTTATTGTATTCAAGCTTGAAGCTGTAATTCTGCATGCTGTAAGACTCAGAAAAACAAGCAGTCTGCTGACATCATTAGAAGTGGTAGCCTGGTCCAATCACAATGCTTCCCCATAGGATTGGCTGAGACTGACAAAGAGGCAGAACAGGGGCAGAGCCAGCATGATTCAAACACAGCCCTGGCCAATCCGCATCACCTCATAGGAGGAAGGTTCTGTGTCTGCATGCAGAGGTAGGAGATACTGATATGCTGTGATGCATTTTAGGCATCAATGACCCATGACGGATTTCTAACAGCCATCTAAGGAATGGCCAGTGAAGTTATCACTAGGCTGTAATGTAAACACTGCATTTTCTCTGAAAAGACTGTGTTTACAGCAAAAAGCCTGAAGGTAATGATTCTACTCACCAGAACAAATTCAGTAAGCTATAGTTGTTCTGGTGACTATAGTGTCCCTTTAAATGGAGCTCTGGTTGAATTTAAGCCATGTGGTACATTTTATGCTATATTATTTAATGTGTGTGTGTGTTTTCTCTTGCAGAGAGATATGTAAGGTATTTTAGGACTTTAAAGGGAAACCATAGTGCCAGGAAAACAAACTTGTTTTCCTGGCACAGTAGCTTCCCCTTCTGTCAAGCCCAAAAGTTCTTATGGTTCCAGGTGGTTGCTAGCACTGTCTCACCTTAAGGGATTAAGCTGTTCTCAAATGGTTTAACCCCAAAGTCTGAATCTCCCTGCCTCTTTGTCATTTAGTTTTTTTTTTTTCAAAATTGGTAAAAGTCTCTTGCAGAATCGGGCAGCAACGCTGTTGATTAGCTGAGAGCGGTCAGCTGGCGCTCTCAGCCAATCAGTAATTCCCCATTCATCAAAATGTCTTGAAAAAGAAACTTATCTCAAGGTAAACCAGCGCCAGAGACCTCCTGGCACCATAACAACTTCATTTGAAGTTTTTATGGTTCCCAGAGTGTTCCTTTAGTAGATAGATTTGCAACCACATACAAAAATATATTTGGCTATAAATTGCATTGAAATTTGAAGAGCTTTGTAATTTGCTTTAAAATTTTGAAGAGCTTTGTAAACTAGACCTGTAGTTTAGTAAATAAGGGGTTGGAGTGGGCACTGTAAATGATTCTGTACTGAATGGATGATGCTTTCTATATGTCTTCTATAGATGGGAAACCATTTGGTCTGCAGAACCCACAAGGGTAAATTCCCCTCAGGCTCGTCAGTTCAAACCATGCATTAAAGAAATCAATTTTCCAACGAACCTTCTCCGTCTGGAGACAAATAGTTCTCTTTTGGACTACTACACCGAACTGGATGCAGTGGAATTGCATGGTGTCAAAGAGAAACCAATGCATTCTATTAAAACAACCACTGTTGATATGAGCGATTCGGATGAGGACGAATATGAGGATAAAGATAGCTGTGGCCTTGACTGCCTTACTAATCAGTTCAGTAGCACCAGTCTTAGAGAATGGACCGATAATGGCTATTTTGACAAACTGCCTTACGAGGTAAGCATACATATTGACTTGTTTCGGTTTGGAAGGGGAAATATCATTAAACATTTGTAATGCATGATCTTATTACTGTTAAATCTAAAAATATGTAATATGTCACTTATACATAGACTGAAAAGAGATATGCTTCCATGAAAGTAAGCATTCCTCATATATGTTTTTGCTGTTGATCCAAAATAATGCAAAGGAAAAAAAACAGTTTGAAGCACATTCCAATTTTGTAACAAACTAGGAAAACTTCCTTCTTGACCCAGTACAGCATTCAGAACATTCCTTGTACCTAGAAGCTATTACCCCACACACTAAAAAATTATAAATAATGTTTTTGCAACTATTCATCCAGTTGCTGTTTAACCATTAGTACAGCCTCTGATGAAACCACCTCTTCAGGCAGAAAAGTCCACATCTTTACTGTTCTTACTGTAAAAAAAAAATGTTTTGGCTTGTATTGGCCCCGCTGTTTGTATAATGCTATCAAATCCCATCTGAGGTACAGGTTTTCTAAACTAAGCAGATTTAAATCTGTTAACCTTTCTCATAACTAAAATGTTTTATTTATTTTGTAGCCTGCCTCTGCGCTTTTTCTATTGTTATAATATCCTTCTTTAGAACAGGTGCCCAACATTTCACAGCATATTCAAGGTGTGTTCTTACTATTGGTTTATAAAGAAGCTAAATGATGTTATCATCCGAAGAAATAATGCCCCTTTTCTTACATGACAATACCTTACTGGCCATAGCAACTGCTGATTGACATTGCATATTGTTGTCTATCACAATTCCCATATCCTTCTCATGTGTTATCCCTATTTCACTGCAGTTTACGGTGTTTTGTTTTGCATTAATCATCCACAAAGTACATAACTTTGCATTTCTCTACCTTACATTTTATCTGCCATTTGAATGCTCAGTCCCCTAATCTAAATCCCTCTGCAGCAAAGTAATATGCTTTGTATTACTTTACAGAGTTTCGTGTCATCTGCAAACACTGAAACATGACGTTCAATGCCTATTTCAAAATCTATATACCTATATTATTTAAAAAAAAAAAAAAAAATGTATATGTTAAATAGAAACAGTCCCAGAAGAAAACCCTGAGGGACACCACTTTTATCCAGCTTGAAAATTTACCATTAATAACAACTCTCTATACTCTATCTTCAAGTCAATGTTCTACCCAAGAACAAGAATTTTCATCTAGACCAATTTCTTTTAATTAAACAGTTACCTATTGTGTAGAAAAGTATAAAATGTCTTGACAAAATCCAAGCAGATCACATCCACTGCAACACTCTCAAATTTGTACTTACTTCTTCGTAGAATTGTTGTTAGTTTGACATGCGCAGTGCCTCTTTAAGTACTTGTGGGTGAATACTGTGAAACCTTGGGTCTTTGTTTGCATTAACTTTCTTTTATTGCTATAACACCTTGTCTTAAAGGAACACTATGGTGCCAGGAAAACGGTCGTTTTCCTGGCACTATAGCGTTATTAGGTTCCCCCCTCTCACGGATCCCCCTTCGTGCTGGGCTGAACGGGTTAAAACCCCTTCAGCCACTTACCTTAATCCAGCGCTGGTGACCTCTCCTCCCCCTTCCGGCGTCAGCTCCAAATCCGCATGCGCGGCTAAAGCCGCGTGCGCATTCAAACCACACATAGGAAAGAATTACTCAGTGCTTTCCTATGGACGTCCAGTGTGAGTTCAATGCGATTTTTGCATTGAGGTTCGTGGAAGTGGGCTCTAGTGGCTGTCAGGGGGAAAACGTTGCTGTGGTTCCAAGAAAGTTCCTGTATTGAACCAAGGAGTGCCTGGACCCCCTTTATTTTATTGCATTGATCCTGGGAATCTGGTGTTTGGTTCCGGTCACAGAAAGCACCATGGCTCTGACTGATGGGAGTGAGTGCAGTTCCATACTTTTTTCAAAGGGACGAGATTGTAGACCTACACAAGGCTGGAATGGGCTACAAGACCATCGCCAAGAAGCTTGTTGAGAAGGTGACAATAGTTGGTGTGATTATTCACAAATGGAAGAAACCCAAAATAACTGTCATTCTCCCTTGGTCTCTTCGTGGAGTTTCAATGATCATGAGAACAGTGAGGAATCGGCCCAGAACTACATGGGAGGATCTTGTTAATGATCTCAAGGCAGCTGGAACCATAGTCACCAAGAAAACAATTGGTAACACACTACACCGTGAAGGACTGAAACCCTGCAGCGCCCTGCAAGGCTCAAGAAAGGCAATGAACATCTGAATGATTCAAAGGAGAACTGGGTGAAAGTGTTCTGGTGGTAAGATGAGACCAAAATCGAGCTCTTTGGCATTAACTCAACTTGCCGTGTTTGGGGGAGGAGGAATGCTGTCTATGACCCCAAGAACACCATCCCCACCGTCAAACTTGGAGGTGGAAACATTATGCTTTGGGGGTGTTTTAATGCTAAGGTAACAGGACAACTGTACCGCATCAAAGGGACGATGGGTGGGGCCATGTACCGTCAAATCTTGGGTGAGAACCTCCTTCCCTCAGCTAGGACATTGAAAATGGTTCGTGGATGGGTATTCCAGCATGACAATGACCCAAAACACACAGCTAAGGAAACAAAAGAGTAGCTCAAGAAGAAGCACATTAAGGTCTTGGAGTCGCCTAGCCAGTCTGCAGACCTTAATCCCATAGAAAATCTGTGGAGTGAGCTGAAGATTCAAATTGCCAAACCTCAACCTCGAAACCTTAATGACTTGGAGAAGATGTGCAAAGAGGAGTGGGACAAATCCCTCCTGAGATGTGTGCAAACCTGGTGGCCAACTACAAGAAACGTTTGACCTCTATGACATGGCAAATCAAATCTATGGCAAATCAATTTGTAAATTAAAATACACTTACTATTAAAATTATAGACTGATCATTTCTTTGTCAGTGGACAAACGTTAAAAATCAGCAGGGGATCAAATACTTTTCCCCTGCTGTATTTATCGGCTCACACAGTACAGTCACTCAGACTGCCACTAGAGGTGCTTCCTAGTCCAGTGTGCAGACACGAAAAGTACAGATTTCAACAGAAATTGTCGTTTCTATGAATTAACTTTGTTCTATCCCAATGTTGTTACTGCCTGATTGTATAGCTCAGCGGAGGCAGGCAATTACCCATAGCAGCTGCTTTTTTAACCCCTTAAGGACACATGACATGTGTGACATGTCATGATTCCCTTTTATTCCAGAAGTTTGGTCCTTAAGGGGTTAAACACTTCATTGAGTTAGATTGGACAGCCACAGAAAGGCTGCAGATGACATATCTGCATGTTTTGTATGCTGTTTTACTTAAACTGCAATGAAAACTTGCATAATTTAATTATTTTTGGGTAATATTTACTAAGCATTAGTTCTTATATATGGGACATCTTAGTGCTACCTTGGGTTACAGTTGAGTGTGGTGTTTGTCAATAACTAAATAAATGAGAGCTAGGTGCAATGGGGACATTTCCCCAAGCCTAGTTTCTTAGGTTTTCCACTGACCAAAAGCTCTGACCATATCATTCTGTTTTACCTTGGTGTTTTGTTCCACATAGGGAGCAAATAACTATATATTGTGTGTAATACAACATTTTGTAGATGTCTGGCTTACGGTTAAAATACGAGAGGCTACTAAAATCTTCATGGGCATATGACCCTATCGTGAGCATGTGTTTTTTCAATGTGAAGTTTGAGACTGTAAAATTGGAACAATTCCAATTATCTCTTGACAACATATCCATTAAGTTTCGATTCCGAAGCAAAACGATATGCATGGGTACGGAAGCCACTCATTATGTGAAGGACGCTATTACATGTGCTGTAACACAAGCTTCATTTTGGCTACATACAGTTGATAATGTTGTCATTCATAGTGTAGTGATGGATAAACATTGGTGTCAATTTAAGGAGAGAGAGTTGTTATGGGAGATTTGAGTCTTCCATTATACTCATGTTACATGTTTTAGCCGTGACATACTAGATTCTTCAGACTGTATCACCAAAGCAACAAATGCAACAGATAATACTTACAAACGGTAACTGTTTATGAAGGAAGATTAACCTGCTGGTATGGTTACACAGTAAACCTGTCTATTCCGTCTTGATGCACTTTTGTTGTTGTGTTTTTTGTTTTTTTTTTGGGTTTTTTTCTCGAACTTGTTTTCAGGACCATCCAGCAGTTTTAGTATTTATTCCTTATGATTACAGATGACTCTTTGATTCGCACAGGTGGACTTTACAAAATGACTGACTAAACTGTGAGGATATTGGAGAACTCGCACTATAGAAGCACTGTCTTCTATATGACCTTGAGAAACTCCCATGATAAAGGATGGTAACTAAGAATGTTCACCCGTGAACAGTAGACCAGACATTAAGTAACACAAAAAGAACCCTTTTTTTTTACAATTCTGCCATGGTAAAAGAATGCACCCTATGTTAACCATACAATCAGAAAGAGTAGTAAGTATGCTTAGAAGCATAGATTTTGACAGGCGATAAAAATCAGTTGGCCCCCTAAAACACATTTCCTTCATTATTTGTTTCCTGTTCAGGACTTCAGAATGTCTCCCTCTACCACTCTTTAGTCCCTACCAATTCTTTGTATGTAAAATGGCACCTTTTTATACTTTTGTTACAAAATTGTAATACTATGTGCTTCATGGACAGGCTCGTTAGGGACCCGCTTGGGTTACAGGAGCCAAGGATGCAGACTTGAGTGCAAGGGCCTAGCCCAGAACAACCACTCGCTGAAGGCTTGTATCCCATATGTGTCTGTGGACTCATTCTATGCACCTGTGCAGCATACACACCCACAAAAGGAACATGAACACAATCAAAAAAGCTAGCAATAAGACCTGACACTGGTAGTAAAAAGTGAGGATTTAGTTATATTTAATGCAGTGAGATGGAAAGCTTGCTGCCATGTCATGATATAAGCAAGTCCTAACTCGAAACTCAAACTAATAAACCAATAGCTAAAGCAGAATATAAAACGGCTTCCCTGAAAAAAAGGTTGCTGTATCTCTTGTACAGAGGGAACCTGCTAGCATTTTGGATCTTTACTGCCATTATGAGTTGGATCGGTCTGATCTGCAAATGGTACAGGTTCTCTCTGTAATGGTACACGTGAACAAAAAATGTGTTTGATGCCTGAGTGGGGACTAACCAAAGGGCAAGATAGGGATTGATGTCACTAGAGGAAGGTTCAGGCATCGGAGAAGTGACAGTTCCTGTGTGTATATCTATATATATATTATATATATCTCTCTGAAGGACCCTTATAATTATTTATCATACTAATACAGCATATTTGCAAAGGAAATGTTCGAGTACATTTTTGTTTCCTGTGTGATTTTGTTGTTTTGTTTTTGCTTATTTAATTTAACCACCACTTAAGTTTGCCCAATTCTATAATGGCATTCAGATAGCAGCACAGAGTCACATATTCTCAGGTTCACTGCTATTAAAAATGCATACAACCAATACTATTTATATCCAAAGTACTTACGTAACAAGAACTTGCCCTGAGCTTCCCTAAAATAGGAAGTGGCACAATTCTTCTGTTTGTTTTTACTCATTTGGAAAGAAAATGTTTGAAGAAAGCTACTCCTTTATTTAAGCATGGTTCTTACTGGAACGTCACATTGCTATTAAATGTAAATACTTCCTATCTTTTCAGCATTAAATGAGCACTGACATAATTTTTTTAAAAATGTTTTTAGATATATTCTGTTTATGTTTATTTTTTGTCAGTTTCCCTGGACTGAGCAGCAATGTTGAGAAACCTGGGTCAGAATTTGGCCATTATCAAACCCATTTTCACTTTTTTTTTTTTTTTTTTTACCATTGTTTGCTTCTTTCCAGACCGAGCATTTTTTTGTTAGTCTGGCAATTACACAGTTGAATAAAACATTCAAAATCACCTGTAACTTGAGTTAACCTTTTTTCCATGTGATGCTGCGTTTTATTTTAAAAATGCATACTACAGATTTTGCAAGTCACATTCCAGTTCATTTAGGCACAGACAGGGCACACAATGCAAACTAGGGGAAGAATGTTTCCGCATCTCTTCTTCCACTTACTATTGTCAATGGCAGAAAAAAGCAACATTTAGGGTTATGATGGCCAGGGAGCCAAAATGGGATAGAAGTATGTATTTCTACTTTTAATTTTATTTTTCAAATCTCACAAAAACATATCTGCTAAATTAGATGTGTATTCTAATCTATACATTTGCTAGCAAAACTGCCAGCACAGTGTGTAGATAAAATCTCATGCTCAAACTGAGCATATGTGGTTTGGGCATGACAGGTGCCCTTTAAGTAGTGAATGGTCTGGGTGGGGTGGATGCTAGCACCTTGTTTATTGTAAGCTTCCTTTGTAAAGGTCCTCTTTGCCTTATTCATTGTTCTTCTGTTAATTACCGCATATCTCCCATTGTAAAATTGCAAAGCTGGGAAATGTTGTTGCTATTTTAGTGCTAATTATAATATTGCGTTTTATTTTTCCAAGATTTGTTTCCTATTTTTGCAGTTAAAAAGCACTTTAAAAATGTTATATATTTTTTTTTTTTTTCAGCTAATTCAGTTAATCATAAGCCACCTAGCACTTCCAGATCTGTGCCGACTCGCACAGACCTGCAAACTCCTGTATCAGCATTGCTGTGATCCTCTGCAATATATTCATCTTAGTTTACAGCCTTATTGGGCCAGTCTGAACGATACATCACTTGAGTACTTGCTGCCACGATGCACCCTTGTCCAGTGGCTGAATTTATCTTGGACCGGTAATAGGGGTTTTATCTCTACCTCAGGATTCAGCAGGTAAATTGTATTTTAAATTGATATTTACATTGAGACATTGTTATCCTCAATTGCGCAGAGATACACTTTCATTGTATTTATTTTTAATTTCAACAAACTTAGCACATATAGGATTTAATCCCTTTGCTGCCATAAATGTAATATTGCCCCAGCCAGCGTCATTGGGTGTCATTAGCCAGCCCAAGTTACAATTAGTGGGCCTTAGTGATTATAATGGTTGGAGTAACCCTTTAACCCCTTAAGGACCAAACTTCTGGAATAAAAGGGAATCATGACATGTCACATGTCATGTGTCCTTAAGGGGTTAAAGTCTTCTCTGTGTACTTAGTACATATTTATTAGTATGGTAAAATCTACTTCAAATCCAATTACAAGCATTATGGCAATATGTTATGTGTGTCTGGTAAAGTGTCCGTGGCTGTGGAAGCTTCCATTATCTCCACTAAGCTAAGCCTTGCTGTGCTACGCATATTAACAGGCGTATCAGAGCATCTACTGAGTGCTTTCAACCAGTGACCATGGCCGTGCACAGCCGAGGCTCAGTGGTATGAGCTTCCTGAACCAGGGCCTTCGGCACTCACCAGACTGGATCTTAAAACCGTTGTCAACCATTCTTAATGAGTTTGCTTACTTTGGGTGGAGTACCATGGCACTCCTAGCAACATAAGTAATACTAATTGTTAAAGGAATACTCAAAGGGGTTATGGTGCTCTGAGTATTCCTTTAACAAAATCCCCTCACAGAAGATGGTTTCTGGGACAAATATACCATAGGAAGCATAACGAGTAGATTCAAACAGGAATAATCACAGGACAATTGCAAGTGGTGGAAATTAACACAACAAAAGATGTCACTTTTAGATTATTTTAGAACTCTTTAATGCATGCAGATTTCAAACTACAAATAAGGCACTTTTCAGATCACTTTGATAAATTTCCATTTTAGTACTTTGCATAAAATGTATTAATTGGTGTCCAGCAGCACCTTCATGAAGTATGTCCTGCTGCCATTCTTTAAAATGTCACACTGAACTTTGAAGCATAACACTACACTAGACAATGTTAACTACAAATTGAAATAGCAGCAGATGTCTACACATTATGGCTGGTTAATGTTGATGGGAATTAACATAGTATAACATACCTCCCCCTAGTTGGAATCAACAACAAGCTTTGCTACTTTCTTCACTTTCTCTTCACTTTACTCCAGTTTTAGTGCCACCTTTTTTATAGTTCTTAAATTCATATAATAAAAAAATCATAATATAAAAGGAACATTGCTGGAAACGAATTTTGAATGTGTATGGAAAGTTGTGTAACTCATTTTAGGAATTTAGTCCTTTAATCCTATCCTAAGAATCCTATGCTGTTGTGTTATGACCCATCTACCATTAAAAGAATGTACATTCATAATAACCATATGGTGCTTGTTGCATAAGAAGCCAGTGCGCAAATAAAAGCACAAATAATTTTAAAAAGAAAAGCAAAAAAAAAAAAACACTTTAGGACACTGACCCCCGTTAACAAAGAGGGCAGAACATTTGATAAGAGTCCTAACCTCAACATCTGAGGAAAGGGATTTAGGGGTGATTATTTCTGATTATTTCCCTCATCTGCCCTTACAACCCAATACATTATCCAACAGGCCACATGCCAATTTTGTGAAAAGACAACCATCTCTTCCATATGTGAAAACAAGGGGCTGGCAATACCAGGGTACTCTTTATATAGAAAAGACAGGGAAGGCAAGAAAGGGGGAGGGGTGGCCCTGTATGTGAAGGATAACATAAAATATAGCCTAATAAAAGTTAGTACGGTGAACATAGTTATTTTGGGTTACGTTAGAATTTGGTAATCACACAGTAACTCGTGTAGGTGTAATTTATAGGCCCCCAGGACAAATAGAGTTAAATAATCTACTAGTTGAGGAAATGGCTAAAATGACAATGAAGGGGGAAGTTATCATCATGGGTGACTTTAATCTCACTGATGTGAATTGGAAAACCAAAATAGCTGTTTGTGTGAGGAGCACACATATTCTAAACTTCTTACTGGGATTGTCTCTAAAACAAGTCGTTGAGGAGCCAACCCATAAAGAGGCCATACTAGATTTAGTGTTAACAAATGGAGATTTGGTATCATATTACTGTAGGTGAATGTTTAGGATCCAGTGATCATCAGTCAGTGTGGTTTAATATAAGAACAGTGACTGACTGAGTCACACCACACAATCAAAAGTTTTAGACTTTAGAAAAACACTTTTTTCTAAAATTACAATATGTGCAAAGGAGTCATTATCAGACTGGAGCAATTTAAATGGAGTCCAAGAGAAATGGGATTATTTAAAAGTTGCACTGCTGAAGGCAACAGAAAATTGCATTAGGCTTGTCAGTAAAATTCAAGAAACCACTCTGGTACTCCACAGATGTGGCCAAAATAGTAAAAAAACAAAAAGTTAGCATTTAGTAATTATAAGAATAAACAGAGTGAGGAAGACAGAATGGTCTATAAGATTAGGCAGAAAGAGAAAAATCACACACAGAAGAGAAAATAGCACAGTCAGTAAAAAAGGGGACAAAACATTTTTTAGATACATAAATGAGAAAAGGAAAGTAAAACAAGGATTAGTTGGATTAAAAACAAAAGAGGGAAGGTGTGTAGAAGAGGATAAAGGTCTAGCTGACTGCCTCAATTAATATTTTTGTTCAGTATTTACTGATGAAAATGAAGGAAAGGGACCTCAGTTAGAAAAAAGAACAAATTAGTAATTTGTTACATGTGAGTTTACAGAGGAAGAGGTTCTATTTCAACGGTCAAAAGTAAAGATAAATAAGTCAATGGGACCTGATGGAATACACCCAAAGTTGTTTAAAAGCGCTTAACAACTAGCAAAACCATTAACAGATTTATTTAACCAATCATTGTTAACAGGAGTAGTCCCAGAAGATTGGAAGTTAGCAAATGTTGTGCCCATTCACAAGAAAGGTAGTAGGGAGGAGTCGGCAACTATAGACCAGTAAGCTTTACTTCAGTAGTGGGGAAAGTGATGGAAACCATGTTAAAGGATAGGATTGTTGAACATCTAAAAACACATGGATTTCAAGATCAGAGACAACATGGATTTACTTCAGGGAGATCATGCCAAACTAATCTTATTGATTTTTTTTGATTGGGTAACTAAAATTATAGATCAGGGTGGTGCAGTAGACATTGCTTACCTAGATTTCAGTAAGGCTTTTGACACTGTTGCACATAGAAGGCTTATCAATAAACTGCAATCTTTGAGTTTGGATTCCAATATTGTTGAACAAGTAAGGCAGTGGCTGAGTGACAGGTAACAGAGGATTGTAGTCTATGGAGTATATTCGAAGCTTGGGCTTGTTACCAGTGGGGTAGCTCAGGGATCTGTACTTGGACCCATTCTCTTTAATATTTTTATTAGTGATATTGCAGAAGGTCTTGATGGTAAGGTATGTCTTTTTGCTGATGATCCTAAGATATGTAACAGGGTTGATGTTCCAGGAAGGATAAGCCAAATGGCAAATGATTTAGGTAAACTAGAAAAATGGTCAGAGTTGTGTCAACTGACATTTAATGTGGATAAGTGCAAGATAATGCATCTTGGATGTAAAAACCCAAGGGCAGAGTACAGAATATTTGATAGAGTTCTAACCTCAACATATGAGGAAAGGGATTTAGGGGTGATTATTTCTGATGACTTAAAGGTAGGCAGACAATAGAGCAGCAGGAAATGCTAGCAGAATGCTTGGTTGTATAGGGAGAGGTATTAGCAGTAGAAAGAGGGAAGTGCTCATGCCATTGTACAGAACACTGGTGAGACCTTACTTGGAGCATTGTACGCAGTACTGGAGACCGTATCTCCACAAGGATAATGATACTTTTAGAGAGAGTTCAGAGATGGGCTACTAAACTGGTTCATGGATTGCAGGACAAAACGTACAAGGAAAGCTTAAAGGAACTCAACATGTATAGCTTGGAGGAAAGACGAGACAGGGAGGATATGATAAATACCTTTAAATACATAAAGGGAATCAACACAGTAAAGGAGGAGGCAATATTTAAAAGAAGAAAAACTACCACAACAAGAGGGCATGGTCTTAAATTAGAGGGGCAAAGGTTTAAAAATATCAGGACGTATTATTTTACTTAGAGGGTAGTGGATGCATGGAATAGCCTTCTAGATGAAGTGGTAGAGGTTAACACAATAAAGGAGTTTACTCTGCGTGGGGTAGGCATAAGGCTATCCTAACTATAAGATAAGGCCAGGGACTAATGAAAAATTAGACAGACTAGATGGGCCGAATGGTTCTTATCTGCCGTCACATTTTATGTTTCTATGGCTGCACTCACCTACACATGCATAAATAGGGTGCTGCTGGGAATCAATAGGTACAATAAAAATGGAAATCCAGCGCACTTTCTTATCTACTAAACAGCAACTTTGGTGCTGACAGATTTTGTTAGTCTGTCGGCACCAAAGTTGCTGTTTAGTAGATAAGGAAGTGTGCTGGATTTTCATTTGTTTAGTAGATAAGGAAGTGCGCTGGATTTTAATTTTTATTGTACTTATTGATTCCCAGCAGCACCCTATTTATGCATGTTTAGGTGAGTGCAGCCAGCCCCTTGTGTTTTTATATATATATATATATTTTTTATATTTTTAGGAATCTAGCCAGCTCCTTGGTTTTGCGCCCCTCCCTGTCACAGGTGCCTCATCCCAGGGCCCTATTTAGCCTTGTACTGCAGAGAACTCAAGATGGAAGGATTTCCCCAAGCAAGTAGCTCATTTAGCAGACATTTGGCTGTTAGAGTAGGACCTGCCAAAGATGGGGTACATTGATGTTGTGGCAGGCTTATGCAATGTATGATCATATAATGTAACTAAACCCACATTATTTTTTGCCTAGATTAGGTGTTTTAAAAAAACTAACAATCTGTCAGCACCAAAGTTGCTGTGTAGTAGATAAGGGAGTGCGCTGGATTCTCATTTTTTTTTCTCTTCAATATGTGCCTCTAAATATAGTAACCTTAAATTCAAATTTTTGGGGGATTGCAGTCGCGAGAATGTATTTACAAACATTATAAGACATTTCAAGAAAATGCCAGCTTTGCAATCCACTGAAGCCCCTAAGGCTACTTTAAAAATATTCAGCTGTTTGATTACTATTGCAGGATATCTTGTCTTGTGCAGTTCCGAAATTTACACAAGTAAGTTTGGGATTGCTATATCATTCCAAGCATGTAACCTTGGTGATGCTCCTGTACACCGCCAGGGGCAATGACATAATAATTAAAAATCACATCAGTCTTTAAAGCGTTTTCTAATGGGGATTATGATTTAATAGAGGTTTTTTTTGGAAAACGGTTACCATTTTCAAACCTTGATATCCTCTAGCAAAGTAGTTTTACATGCTATTTTTTTATGAAAAGCAAGCATTGTAATATGGAGAAACAGGAGACCGCTCCGGGCATGTAAATATCCAGAGGCAAGACTGAAGGTAATTTAATTTATTGATGATGTTAGTTGTTGGTAGGTTATATCTCAGTTGGCATGAATATATACCCAACTGTAATCATAGCTGAGCAGATAGTTTTGACATTGACAGAGCTTCAATATTGCTTCCTTTTTTAGTCCTTGTTGCTGAACGGTGGATGTTAAAATGATTAATAAACAATATTTCAGATTGTCAATTAGCAGCAATGTAAATTACATTGCAGTACTATCAGAGAACCAATCATTATTTAAAACATTATAAAACTAATGCAGAACCTTATTTCACACTTGTACTGATTGTCCATTTTGTTCTTCTGTTTGAACATCAGTTTTACTGATGTTTCTCTGAAGTACTGTCCCGTATGCCATTCATTTGTTTTTTTGGTTGAGGAGAGGACTGTTGTAGAAATATGATTTTATTTGTGGCTACCTTGCTAAAATATTAAAATAACTACATGGAAAGCATTTTTAAAAATGTTATTTCTAATAAAAAATATTATGTTCACAATGTGTCAGTTATTGTTTTCTCAATTAAATCTTGATGGTTCTAAATTTATCATACACCTTTCAAAAACACAAACCTTTTTGACTAAGAACATCATTTCCCAGGTTCAGTGCAAATTCCACAGAGCTCCCTGTCTGGACTCTATAGCTAGCCTATACAGGCTGTTTTATTCAGATTAAGAGAGTTGGCACTTACCTGTTACCACGAGGGGAAGGTGGGGGGAGATAACTTAAAGAATAAGACTGGCTATGCTGAGGTTTCCCATGACAATAACAACCATGAAGTCTCAAAATGACGACGGCACTAGAGTCTCAGTCAGACTCTGCAGACTATGACTCTGACATGTAGAATATAGTTATGATGGATAAGAAATCATGAAGAAGGTAAGGCTAACAGGCCAAAAAGGGGGGATGTCTTTGACATTCTGGCCAACATTCTCGAGCTGGTTAAGGAGGAAATCCAAGCTACTTATTGGAAGAGCATATCCTGGAGATTTGTAATAAAATCTTCACCACTGTCATCAAGCTGCAAAAACCACCGGAATCCCAAAAACCACCGCCCAGCTCTGCATATAAACTGCCTAGGCAAAAGATGTAGACAAACCTTTCTCAATATCTTTGAATCTGTTGATGTAGGTGAATTACATCATTTCGTTTGGTTCTAATTAACTATCAAACAGGCCAACGCACTGGCTATTGACGCAGTGTGCAGGATGTCTAGATCTCCTTTTTTTACAAATACTGTACCAATGTATGTTATACATGTTCAGTTGTTTTCTGATAAAATTTACATTTTAACACGCAGTCAAGCAAAAATTGCCACAAAACCTTGGTGATCAACAAATGTATTTCTTCCGGAATCTAAGCCTCTCTACCTTACCTCACAAAAATTCTCTAGGAAACTGGAATTGAATATTGGTGGCGCCTAACTCTTAATGTTACTAAAAAAAGAACATGGATTAAACTTACCTCTACCTCAGTCTTCTTCGGGCTTGGGCCAATGACCCTGGTTCACAGTCAGAATTGCCAGTTTTGTTAGACATTTTTTCCATTAAGACCTGTGTAATAGATTTCTTCATATATTTTTGTGATTACTGCTTTTGACTATTTTTGTAACGCATTATATCACATTGTTTTCTACTCACCCTTGCTTGCAATTGCCTATTTAACCAACACCTTCCCATTACTATTTTCCCTTTAGCCAACTAACCCTGCTATTTAGTGGCTAGTGAAAGCTCTTCTGATCCAGACAGGGCATTGTACTTAGTTTTGTACAGTCATTTTTTGAATATAAGTATGCTGTAGTTTACAGTTAAAATACTCCTCGGTATTACCCTCTCTGTCTTCTTCCTCACCATCTTGGGCCAGCAGCATAGGCTGTTTGCTTTGTGCCTCCTGCACCATAAAGCAGTTCTTCTCCTTGCTCTCCAGTCTTCTTCGCCCTGTGCTGTGTCATCGTCAATCAGGTATATATGGGCTAATTCTTGCGGAGCAACTCAACTATGCTACCATCCAGGTTGAGGTCCAGTCCAGCCACGCCCCTTTTTTTACATCATTTGGGGAAGACTATATGTAACTGAAAATATAGCAAACGCAAAGTACAAAATAAATATAGTGGCCGGAAGATTCCAGTTCTGAGGAAAGGCTAGGGGAAAAGGCATCTTAGAACGGTTTATGCTGCGAGCTCATATAGGTCTTGTTGCTTCAAGAAAAAAATCTGATTGCTAATTGCTACTTGTCAGTAAGAATACTGTCCCTCTTTGTGGACAAAATTCTAACAATTTTCACATAGAGACGTGCTTCACTACATATACCAAATTTTGTTTCAGCATCTGTTACAATAAACAATTAAATGGACCCCTAACGTTGCAAATAAATGGCTTTGCAGCTAAATTCAGAAATTTAGCCAGTGGTTATTGCACACAAATGGTGCATGGAAAAGTTATATAAAACATTTCAGCAAAATAACTTTATGAAAATAACTTCTTTTCAACTGAGCAGTTATTTAGCTTTGTTTTCCCGAGGGGTGGCAGAAACATAAAATAACATTTAAAGATAATAGGATTATTTTTTTTAAATACATTCTTGTTTTGCGTGTATTGGAAACATAATTCTCTAGACTACATGGGGTTGTTTAATGATTTGGCCATTTATCAGACACATTTTGCAAAAAAAAAATCTTTCTATGACCACAAGCAAAACCTCTCTCTGCCTATTTGAAATTCTGTAAATTGAACAGAATTTAAACTTCCGTAGGGAAGTAATCCTCTCTGTTCGACTTTATGATTTCGAAATTTTAAGCAGCTTCGTGTTCGAGATTTGCATTGTGTAAATCCATGTCACCTATCAGTTGTGATGTTGCTGTTTTCAGACACAGTACTGCAAAGAGTTATGTGAACATTTAGTGCATTTATTAAGTACACTAAGGTGAGACTGGCTGGTTTATCTAGAACACTTGAAAGTCTAAGGAGCGTGATAACTTTGCGAGCATATTAATTATGAGCAGTAGAAGGTATATTTTACACTTTCGCTAATGAATTCCTTGACAGATTTACAGTGTTTTCATTTACAGGTTTTTGTGTAATTTCTTTTTAGTATATTGCTGAATAGACTACTTCTAAATCATTCACTTTTTCGTTCATTCCACTACTTCAGTATTAACTCTACAGGGAGTGCAGAATTATTAGGCAAGTTGTATTTTTGAGGATTAATTTTATTATTGAACAACAACCATGTTCTCAATGAACCCAAAAAACTCATTAATATCAAAGCTGAATATTTTTGGAAGTAGTTTTTAGTTTGTTTTTAGTTATAGCTATGTTAGGGGGATATCTGTGTGTGCAGGTGACTATTACTGTGCATAATTATTAGGCAACTTAACAAAAAACAAATATATACCCATTTCAATTATTTATTATTACCAGTGAAACCAATATAACATCTCAACATTCACAAATATACATTTCTGACATTCAAAAACAAAACAAAAACAAATCAGTGACCAATATAGCCACCTTTCTTTGCAAGGACACTCAAAAGCCTGCCATCCATGGATTCTGTCAGTGTTTTGATCTGTTCACCATCAACATTGCGTGCAGCAGCAACCACAGCCTCCCAGACACTGTTCAGAGAGGTGTACTGTTTTCCCTCCTTGTAAATCTCACATTTGATGATGGACCACAGGTTCTCAATGGGGTTCAGATCAGGTGAACAAGGAGGCCATGTCATTAGATTTTCTTCTTTTATACCCTTTCTTGCCAGCCACGCTGTGGAGTACTTGGACACATGTGATGGAGCATTGTCCTGCATGAAAATCATGTTTTTCTTGAAGGATGCAGACTTCTTCCTGTACCACTGCTTGAAGAAGGTGTCTTCCAGGAACTGGCAGTAGGACTGGGAGTTGAGCTTGACTCCATCCTCAACCTGAAAAGGCCCCACAAGCTCATCTTTGATGATACCAGCCCAAACCAGTACTCCACCTCCACCTTGCTGGCGTCTGAGTCGGACTGGAGCTCTCTGCCCTTTACCAATCCAGCCACGGGCCCATCCATCTGGCCCATCAAGACTCACTCTCATTTCATCAGTCCATAAAACCTTAGAAAAATCAGTCTTGAGATATTTCTTGGCCCAGTCTTGACGTTTCAGCTTGTGTGTCTTGTTCAGTGGTGGTCATCTTTCAGCCTTTCTTACCTTGGCCATGTCTCTGAGTATTGCACACTTTGTGCTTTTGGGCACTCCAGTGATGTTGCAGCTCTGAAATATGGCCAAACTGGTGGCAAGTGGCATCGTGGCAGCTGCACGCTTGACTTTTCTCAGTTCATGGGCAGTTATTTTGCGCCTTGGTTTTTCCACACGCTTCTTGCGACCCTGTTGACTATTTTGAATGAAACGCTTGATTGTTCGATGATCACGCTTCAGAAGCTTTGCAATTTTAAGAGTGCTGCATCCCTCTGCAAGATATCTCACTATTTTTGACTTTTCTGAGCCTGTCAAGTCCTTCTTTTGACCCATTTTGCCAAAGGAAAGGAAGTTGCCTAATAATTATGCACACCTGATATAGGGTGTTGATGTCATTAGACCACACCCCTTCTCATTACAGAGATGCACATCACCTAATATGCTTAATTGGTAGTAGGCTTTCGAGCCTATACAGCTTGGAGTAAGACAACATGCATAAAGAGGATGATGTGGTCAAAATACTCATTTGCCTAATAATTCTGCACTCCCTGTATACTAGAATGTGTTTTTCTAATTCAAGTTAATTCATTAAATAATTAGCTTTTTCTGTAATGTTGGTAAAAACATGACCATACTCTGTGTATAATTAGTCATAATTAGTAAGATGGCAAATCATTTCTGAATGGTTTGACGCTTACCCAGGTTCTCTGGTCAAGCTCTATTCTCTGATATGGCTAATGTGAAAGAACCCCATACTGTATTAGATTTATAAATTGTGTCCCTGTTTGAACAGAATTCAATGGCTGCAAGCATCATATTAAAATTGTAGTAGAAATAGGCTTTATATCTTGTTTCTCTTGGTTTGATTATTTTCAAAATTAAATATACAGTAAGTACATGTGTGTGTCATCTCATACGTATAGTTTATTAGCATTTTATGTATGTTTATTACATTTATATTTGACACTATTTAATCTCATAAGTGCTCGACATGTCTTCCATCAACGTTGCAACATTCCTTGAACCTTTCCAGTACACTGACACACAGTAGAACACAAATTCCAGTCCGCATCAATGTCTATACGTGCTTCAGCGTTAAACTCTTTTCATTCATCCATTTTCTTTGGCAATTCCTATGAAAAAAACATATTCTCTTCTACACCCTAAAAGAAAAATCCATTGTTAAGTCGGGTAAACGTGGCAGCCGTTCAATGCTGCGATGTAGTTCGATCCAATGCTGTGGGATGGTGTTGTTAAGGTAGTCCCTTACTGCAAAAGTATAATGAGGTGGTGGCCCATCTTGTTGCAAGAGCATTTCTGCGAAACACCTACCACGTCACGCAACAAGTTTAGGTAAATGTTACTATCCACAGTTAAATCAAAGAAAAACGGTCATACAAAATTGATTCAACTAAATACCTAGTTTTGGGCCACCATGTATATTTGTACTATACCAAGATTCCATATTCACTCTCATAGCATGCATGTGGCCCCAAAAACATTGTGGAGATAGTTTAATTTATGTTTTCCGTAAGAAGCTTAATAGTACATTGCCTTCATTTATTAAAAACATGAATGACACTGGCTACTCACAGCTTCTGTTACTTTATTTGCACAAATAGTATACATTGTTTTTTGTATGAACATTGACAGCCGCTAGAGGCGCTTATATGCTTCTCACTGTGATTTTCACAGTGAGAAGACGCTCGCGTCCATAGGAAAGCATTGAGAAATGCTTTCCTATGGACTGATTGAATGCGCTCGGCTCTTGCTGCGCATGCGCATTCGTCGGAACAGGGAGGAGAGTCCCCAGAGCCGAGGAAACCCGGAGCTGGAGAAAGGTATGCCTTTGACTCCTTCCATCCCCTAAAGCCCGGCGGGAGGGGGGGTCATGATGGTAGGGGGGACCTATTAACATTATAGTGCCAGGAAATCGAGTTTGTTTTCCTGACACTATAGAGATCCTTTAAGGAGTAAGCTGGCAGGCAAACTACAGTTCTCATGAACCACTGCTTGGATATGCACAATCTTCCTATAAAAAGTGATGATCACTTCATGTTTAACTGAGAGCTTTTTTGTCACTTTCTTAGACGTGTTTATTTCTTCTTCTTCAAAAGGCTAATTCTCTAACGGTAATCCATTAAAGAGGGGAGTCAGTCCCAGCCTGGAGTATCCCCTTAAAGTGATTCTCCAAGTGGTTATGGTGCTATTAGTTCTGATTTGTTTACCTGCAGAAAGATGTCAAACCGTTTTAGCATTGTTTGACATCTTGCATATGTCCTGCCAGCCCCACTGCTACGTCCAGTCTTCTCCAACGGAAGAAGTCGATGACTCTTCTGAGCAAAGCAGCACCGATGCATTCTCAGCCGATGACGTTGGCAAAGCTCATTGTCAATTTACTGCTTATACCCTAAAACTGTTTAACATCTTCCTGTGGGATAGCGCCAGGGCACTAATGATACCATACCCTCTGCAGTGATCATGGTTGTTAGTGTGTTACTCTAATCTATAATTGTTTACTAAGAACCTAATGAAAACTATTAAATATATCTGCATCATATGACCTTTGTTGTGAAATGAGGCACATTTCATATTATGATATGTTTAGATAACAGATTATTTATTCCATACTGCAGGCTGAGCATTGCATAAATTAAAATGTAAGTAGGTGTGAATGTTCTACGTAATTGTCAAGTTAATGAAGAGCCTCCATTGCATTGCAGTTTAGTTGATTCTTTTGACTACTACAAAGTTATTTTTATTATTCTGGTTATGTTTATTGTGTTTATTGGGGATGTGATTGGAGACCCATATTATCCATCTACTGTTTAATTTCAGGCTTTTAAAAGTGTGTGGCTCTGAACTAGTGCGCTTGGATTTGGCCTGTGGCCACTTCTTAAATGAAGCATGCCTGGAAGTCATTGCTGAGATGTGTCCAAACCTTCAGGAATTAAATCTCTCCTCTTGTGATAAGCTGCCACCTCAGGCTTTTATCCATATTTCTAAACTCTGTGGATTAAAGCGCCTTGTTCTCTATCGCACAAAAATAGAGGTAAGGATAACTTTGATTTTGTTTTAATCACAGAACATGTTCTAATCAAACAGAACATGTATTTAAGCCATGTGTGTTCTTTTTTTTAAACTTATAAAGCAGTATTCAGACCAAAGGTAGAGTAATGTTTCCATTAGTTTTATTTTTAAATGCCTTATTATTTATATTTAATACTGTTGGACTTTGTTTACTAAAGAAGAGATTCAGTTGCAGACATTTGACAAGTTGATTTCAGAGTATGGACCATGTATTATATATATATATATATATATATATATATATATATATATATATATATACACAAATACATGAAACAGCTTGCACTCATGGACTTGAAGTATAGAAAAAACGCTTTATTCAAAGCATATCAAACATTCATCACACTATATATATATATATATATATATATATGAGAGAGAGAGATTTAATACATTGTTAAGCACAAATACACACACCAGTCAAGCCATAAGACTTGCTTTTCACACAGAAATCTCACTTTGACAGTGCTCTCACAACTGCAAGGGATTCTTAAAGGACCACTATAGGCACCCAGACCACTTCAGCTTAATGAAGTGGTCTGGGTGCCAGGTCCAGCTAGGTTTAACCCTTTTTTTTTTTTTTATAAACATAGCAGTTTCAGAGAAACTGCTATGTTTATAATAGGGTTAATCCAGCCTCTAGTGGCTGTCTCATTGAGGGCTTCCGCGCTTCTCACTGTGATTTTCACAGTGAGAAGACGCCAGCGTCAATAGGAAAGCATTGTGAATGCTTTCCTATGGACTGGCTGAATGCGCGCACGGCTCTTGCCGCGCATGCGCATTCAGCTGATGACGGAAGAAGAGGGAGGAGAGGAGGACGAGCAGAACTCCCCGCCCGGCGCTGGAGAAATTGGTAACACTAAAACTGCTTTATTTAGCTAAAGTAACCCCTTCCTCCCCCCCAGAGCCCGGCAGGAGGGGGTCCCTGAGGGTGGAGGCACCCTCAGGGCACTATAGTGCCAGGAAAAAGAGTGTGTTTTCCTGGCATTATAGTGGTCCTTTAAGCTCAGGTGGAAGGGGTTTTCATCCACAGTTTTGTTTTTTTTCCCCCACCACAACTATATTGGTATGTACTTTACAAGTAATTCCAAGCCTCCATAGCAAGCCAGTAACCAATATAATGCTGATGAGTTAACAACAAAACAGCTGTCCATGAGTGGTTCACTGGTTTTGCTCCTCTTCCTGAGTTGGTTTCAAAGCCGATGTACACTGCAGGCACATATTCCAAGGAATCCATGTATAAAGTGAAATTATGATGCAAAAATGTGTTTCTTTGTTGAGAGCACTGTTAAAGTGAGATTTCTGTTGGAAAAGCAAGTCTTATGGCTTGACTGGTGTCTGTATTTGTGTTTAGCAATGTATTAACTATCCACTTACTTCAGGTGGAAGGGGTTTTCATCCACACTTTTTTTTCCCCACCACAACTCCGTTGGTATGTGTATGTATGTACACACACACACACATAAAATGAAAAAATAGCTGATATGGACAATTGTTAACCTGTTTTTGTTTAATATATGTAATTCCCTTGTCAGTTATTTTTGTTAAGTGAATAAACCCATTTGAAGCACCCAATTAGCTCAGTCTTAAAGGAACACTATAGTCACCTAAATTACTTTAGCTAAATAAAGCAGTTTTAGTGTATAGATCATTCCCCTGCAATTTCACTGCTCAATTCACTGTCATCTAGGAGTTAAATCACTTTGTTTCTGTTTATGCAGCCCTAGCCACACCTCCCCTGGCTATGATTGACAGAGCCTGCATGAAAGAAAAAAAAAAAACTGGTTTCACTTTCAAACAGATGTAATTTACCTTAAATAATTGTATCTCAATCTCTAAATTGAACTTTAATCACATACAGGAGGCTCTTGCAGGGTCTAGCAAGCTATTAACATAGCAGGGGATAAAAAAATCTTAATTAAACAGAACTTGCAATAAAGAAAGCCCAAATAGGACTCTCTTTACAGGAAGTGTTTATGGAAGGCTGTGCAAGTCACATGCAGGGAGGTGTGACTAGGGTTCATAAACAAAGGGATTTAACTCCTAAATGGCAGAGGATTGAGCAGTGAGGCTGCAGGGGCATGTTCTATACACCAAAACTGCTTCATTAAGCTAAAGTTGTTCAGGTGACTATAGTGTCCCTTTAATATGCATTGTGGGTTGTGTATACATTATTTTACTATAGTGCAAAATCCTATTGTCTCTGCTGGCAGGTGGATTGGCTGTAAATGTTTTAGCAAACACACTGAATGAAAGCTCTTCAGTCAAAGGTTCATAGTAGCACATTCATAATATTTACGTAAATGCTAGCTGGGATATACTACACTTTGGGCACAACTATATGTGTAAAAAGGCAGCCGTACTGACTCTTACTCAAGCTGCCTCTGTATTAGTGACTGATCATGTAATTGCACACTTGACTATCAGAATAGTCTCTTAGCAACTGACAGCTAGCATCCACTGTCTGTCTGTGGTGTCATTATACCTAATCTCTTCACAACTAACGCCAGAACACAGCGACAATCGTACATTTCTTCTTATATGTATAATATGTATATAGGATAAATAATGGCTGAACATTTATTACAGGAAAATAGAGCCATTCAATGTCACCCGCCATCCAGTATAGAATATCAAAAAGTGATAAACCCATTGCAATAAAAATCACATTCACTCTATGGCAAAGCTTGCATTGAAGTGATTTGAAACGTGAGTCAAAACTTCACATAGCAAATTCTATGTTAAGGCCAGCTTGCTTTTGCTTGTGCAAATTGTACAGTAAAGTCATGTACATTTTGGTTTGTTTTTTTTCTTGTTGTTCGACTTCCCTTTAAATTGGTGGTCAACTAATTAGAAGTTTTCAAATGCAAAACCTTTTTGTTATTGTATAGTTTTAGCTTTTCTACCTTCGAAAGATAAAATGTACGGTATGGCTCTGTTATCAAAGCTATGTATTTCCAAGTTTACAAGATAACCGGTGTTACTGTTGGCATGATCAATGTTTACGAGTGCTTAATATATTTCTCCACAAAAACCTTAGATTTTCTTAAACAATGTAAAACAAAGACCAAAAAAAAAAAGACTATTCATGTGACCTGTAGATACTGGAGTGCTGGAAAGTATGTCTAGTAAACTAAGCATCCCCTTCCTTTATGGTCTGGAAATTAGAAAATGATTGTAAGTGGCAATTAAGTGGTTATTTATAAAGCTTGTCAAGTCTTGTCTTTTGTGTCTTATTGTATGTAAGAGAGGGCATGAAATAGTAGGCAGTTGTCTTTAGCAGTCATTGATCCTTCATCAGTGCTCATGTCTTGTGCTGACACAGCCCTTGGCTACTGGTGCATGCACCAGGCAGATGTTATCGCCTCACCTCCAAGCACATTCGCTTTAGTGAAAGGACCATTTGTATTGCATACTAGTCAAAGCAAGTCAAATACACATCCTCTGTGTTAAATAATGATTTAAATGTAGCAAGGAACCTGAATATTGCATTGATTTTGCTCCTTTCCCTTTGTCCAATGTTATGTTCCTCAACTGGTAAATACCAAACAATGAAGTGTGCTGGTTGCAAACAGTATTGATTTTGCTCAGCTATTTGATTACAAAGTTTTATTAACCCGTTGATTGCTGGGGCGTGTGGTTTTGTATTTTTTTTTTTTTGTACTGACAGTGAAGCCAGTTTTGAAAGTTTTGCCATCTCCAGCTTAGATACATATTATTAAATAACATATTGGACTTGTTTTGGATACACATAAATATAATACTATAAAATGAATAAAGTAAAACAAACAAAATTAATGTTTTGTACCAATTTTGAATGTACGCCATATTACTTTAAAATTTTTAATAAGAGTGTGCCATTGTTTTAACCCCTTAAGGACGGAGCCAAATGTACACGTTGTGAACAAAACAAAATGTAAACAAAACCTGGCATTTGCGCTACATGTACATCTTTCATAGTAAATGCACCCACCCTTAATATATATCATTTTATTCAGGGGAAACAGGGCTTTCATGTAATATCAAATATTTAGCTATGAAACATAATTTAATATGAAAAAAATGGAGGAAAATAAGATTTTTTTTATTTTTTTAGTTCTACATGACATTTTAACGGTCAATGTCATAATACTTTTTACACATATTTGTATTCAGTAAAGTCTCACGTTGAATTGAAGTGTACAGGTTTTATGGCGTTTTGGGAAGTTACAGGGTCAAATATAGCACGTTACATTTGAAACTGAAATTCGCCAGATTGGTTACGTTGCCTTTGAGACTGTATAGTAGCCCAGGAATGAAATTTACACCCATAATGGCATACCATTTGCAATAGTAGACAACCCAAGGTATTGCATATGGGGTATGTCCAGTCTTTTTTAGTAGCCATTTGGTCACAAACACAAATATTTGTGTTTCAAAACAGTAAAAAGTATCGCAGCAATAATATCGTCCGTGTAAGTGCTGTTTGTGCGTGAAAAATGCAAAAAACTTCACTTTTACTGGCGATATCATCATTGTAATACATTTTACTGTCTTGAAACAGTAATATTTGTGTTCAGCGAAGTCTTCCGAGTAGAACAGTACCCCCCATGTACAGGTTTTATGGTGTCTTGGAAAGTTATAGGGTTAAATATAGTGCTAGCAAATAAAATTCCCTTTACTTTCAGCATGGGTTGTCAGGCAGGTCCCGCTAATTGTAATTAATTAAGATACCTAATTATGTAAAAATATTACATAAATATATATGTAGAATTAATATATGTGTGTGTGTGTGTATATATATATATATATATATATAATTTTAAAAAAATATTTTTATTTATATATAGGTGTGTGTGTGTGTGTATATATATATATATATATATATATAGTGATATATATTATATATGTATATAGATATATATATTTTGTTCTACGTGTATTTTGATTGATATATATATATATTTCACAATACAGTTAAACGAAATAAAACACATCTATATATTTTTTTTTTTAATTTTATTTTTTAACGTATTTACATTTTTTTATATTATATATAAATATATATATATAACAATAATTATATATATTTAATCAGTATCAGTCTACGTGTAATTTGATATTTATATATATATATATATATATATATATATATATATATATATATATATATATATAGTAAAATACACCTAGACAGTGTGTGTATGTATATGTGTATATATATATATATATATATACACTTAGATCATATATATATATATATATTCTTATTTTTTTTACACTATTTATTTTATTTAATTTTATTTTCAGCCAGCAGGGGGACCACCTGTCATTACAGGCAGCCCCCCTGCTGGCAATGCAGGAGGCAGCTACCCCCTCGCAAGGATCCCACTCTCACATGGCCGGGGGGCTTCCAGGACGTCAGAGGTGCCGCGGAGGCCTCCCTGGGAGTCCCCCGAACCGCGATCGCCGGCGTGGGATCGCCGGCGACCAGGTAAGTAGGAAAAGACTGGAGGGCATACTATTACACCCGGCGGCATTTAGAGCCGCTTAGAATAGGGCGTAACAGTACACCCTCTGGTCTTAAGGGGTTAAAACTCAAATCTTTCAAGATTTGATATACTGGTGTGTTAGTGCAATAGTAGTCTCTAAGCTCAAAACCACAAACCAAAACTTTTTTTTTTTTTTTTTAACTAGTATTCTCGACACTATACTTCTGATGTGGCATTTCAGGTGGCAAAATGTTGCTCTGCACCAATCAGCATCTCCTCATAGAGATGCATTGAATCAGTGCATTTCTATGGGGAATGTTACATACATAGTTACATAGCTGAAAAGAGACTTGCGTCCATCAAGTTCAGCCTTCCTCACAAATGTTGTTGCTCTTGATCCAAAAGAAGGCAAAAAACCTGGTCTGAAGCGCTTCCAATTTTGCCACAAACTAGGAAAAAATTCCTTCTTGACCCCAAAATAGCAGTCAGATGTCTCATTGGATCAAGCAGCTATTACCCCACTAATTAGAAATTATATCCCTCTATGTTATGTTTTTGTAAGTATTTATCCAATTTCAGTTTAAACATCTGTATGGACTCTGACAAAACCACCTCTTCAGGCAGAGAATTCCATATCCTTATTGTTCTTACTGTAAAAAAACCTTTTCTTTGCCTTAGATGAAATCTCCTTTCTTCCAGCCTAAATCTGTGACCTTGTGTCCTATGTATAGCCCTGTTTATGAATAGATTTCCAGATAAAGGTTTGTACTGGCCCCGAATATATTTGTATAAAGTTATCATATCCCCTCTCAGGTGCCATTTTTCCAAACTAAACAGATTTAATTTTTTTAACCTTTCTTCATAACTAAAATGCTCCATTCCTTTTATCAAATTTGTAGCTCGTCTCTGGACCCTCTCCAGTGCCATGATATCCTTCTTTAGAACAGGCGCCCAAAATTGCACAGCATATTCAAGGTGTGGTCTTACCAGCGATTTATAAAGAGGCAGAATTATATTTTCATCCCGAGAATTTATGCCCCTATTTATACATGACAAAATCTTACTGGCCTTAGCAACTGCAGATTGACATTGCATATTGCTGCCTAATTTGTTGTCTATAACAATTCCCAAATCCTTCTCGTGTGTGGTTATCCCTAATTCACTACTGTGACGAGACCAATCTCGCCACATTGCATTGGAGAAGCCTGGTTGCTCGCCTGCTGCCTTTGGACTATGGCCCCCTGTTAAAAGACATCTTTTTTTTACCTGCAGAAAAGCTTCATTCGTGCTTTTCTGCCTGGGGTTCTTACCCCAGATAGGAATCCCATGGAGCCCATTCGTATGAAACTGACTGTAAAGACTTTGGCTCCATGGCGATTAAACTGTATTCGTGTGGTCTGAGCGCCATTCGCTTAATAATGTGCGCTCGGACCTGAGCTATCTGGGGATATGTTACATGTCTGTGTTTTATGTAATAAATGTGACTTTATGTATTTTTAAAGTGTTTTGTGTCTTTTTGCAACCATGTGCTTAATGGAGTCTTGTGTCTGTCCTGGGAGATAATTGAATTACTCTCCAGGATAGAAGACTCTGAAACTGGTTTGGGCCAGAAAGCCATGCTTCATTTAGTCACAAAGGACTTTTTACTAACTTTTGAACCCCTTGTCTGATTTGTGCCATTTTTTAATATGTTGCTCCCCTGAATGGATTGATTCCAAATATGTAATTTTATGTGAATGTGATGTATGGTTTTAGAGTTATGAAAGTTGGGTAGAAAGTATGTTTTAACTGTATGTATAATTGGGTTTCCTCTCAGGATAAGGGGAGGGAATATGTGGGATGTAACTGTGATGTGATTGGTTGTTTTATACCTCCCTGTGGGCGGTCCTGTATTTGCAAGACTGTAATAAAAACCAGGCTGGGTGTGCCAGCACCTCAGACCACTGCTTGACCCTCAACACGGAGCCTTGTCTCGTTCTTGGGGGATTCACTGTATGCTGTTAGAGACTGATTGCCAGGAGTGTAAGCTGATTGTCTGCTTTTCCTGTTCGTCTGCTAGCAGCTATTTGGGAGGTTCCAGTTCGGGAGTTGGAGTGCTATTTTGTATCCAGTTCGGGAGTTTTGGTGTTCTGCAGTAGCTGTGCCTGGATCTCTGGAAAGGGGGCCGATCGCCTAAACGGTTTTTACCCCTTGTGTGCAAAACGGTCCGTTACAACTACCATTTAGTGTGTAAGTTGCTCGTGCATTCTTAACCCCGAAGTGCATAACTTTGCATTTCTCTATGTTAAATTTCATCTGCCATTTTAGTGCTCAGTCCCCCAATCTATCCAAATCTCTCTGCAGCAAAGCAATATTCTGCTCACATTTTATTACTTTACAAAGTTTTGTGTCATCTGCAAACACTGATACATGGCTTTCAATGTGTATTTCAAGATCATTTATAAATATGTTAAATAGAAGTGGTCCCAAAACAGAACCCTGAGGGACACCACTTACCACTTTTGTCCACTCTGAAAATTTACCATTAATTACAACTCGTTGTACTCTATCCTTAAGCCACTGTTCTACCCAAGAACAAGAATATTCATCTAGACCAATTTCTTTTAGTTTGAAGACTGACCTATTGTGAGGAACCGTATCAAATGCCTTGGCAAAATCCAAGTAGATCACATCCACTACAACACCCTGATCTATACTTCTACTTACTTCTTCGTAGAATGCAATTAGGTTAGTTTGACATGACCGATGTTTTAAAAAACCATGTTCAGCAGATGGCCGTGAGCAGAGTGACTGCCACTAGAGTCACCAATGTAAACACTACCTTTTCTCTAAAAAGACAGCATTTACATTGAAAAGCCTGCAGGGACAGGCTATAGACACTTGAACCACTTCATTAAGCTGTAGTGGTTCTGGTGACTATAGTGTCCCTTTAAGAAGTAAACGCTACAAGATATTTTCTGTAAGATTATGGGTCTTAATATGTGGTCATTTCATCACAAATTGCTAAAGCTTGTAGTCGAATATTTTCCCATTTATTTGTGAAATGTGCCAGTATAAGATTATAATCCACGTTTTTACATTCTGCAAAATCAGGGGTAGGCAACCTTTTAGTAGTACTGTGCTAAAACAAGATATTGACGTCTCTTGGCGTACCAGTCCTGTATTTTTAAATTGAGGTGTGTGTTTTGCTGTATTCTGCTTGTGTTATTTATTGTTCCTGCAGTTGTTTAACATTGTGTTTGTGTGAACGTGGGCTTTTATATTTTATAGTATCATGAGTAGTTTGTGTTATTGTATATGATACCTATGAATGTGAGCTGTGTATGGGGGCTACGTGTGGAATTGTGTGTGTGTGTGTGTGTGTGTGGATAATATGTCACATATAGTCTATTCTGTAGTGTGTTTAGGTGTGGTATTGCATGTGAGATGCTGCTTGAGTGCCATGCCATTGGGTGCCGACCCCTTTTCTAGAAGTTAGATGGCCTGTTATAAGACATGTGCATACAAGTTTCTGGGTCAGTATCTGAGGTTTAACAATGCATAATTTCATATTTTATGAAGTGTGTGTGTATATGTATTGTCTTGTTGTGACACAAAATAACTTCAATTAAAAAGATTGGGTCCCCTGACAAGAGCCCCGTACATTGACCTGGCTATTTGCTGTTAAAGTACTGTTATGCTTCATCTGCACATCCTCCTTGGACACATTAGAGGGACACTGTAGGCACCAGACCACTTTAGCTCATTGAAGTGGCCTGGGTGCAAACTCCCATCACCCTTAACTTTGAGCATGTAATTATTGCAGTTTTTATAAACTGCAATAATTACCTGCTAGCGTGTTAACTCTTCCTCTAGTAGCTGTCTACCAGAGAGCCACTAGAGGGAAGTCCGGGTGGTTAGGCGACTTTAGGTTGCCTAAACGACACTGGACGTCCTCACGCTATGCATGAGGACTTCCAGCGTCACCAAAATCCTCATAGGAGAGCATTGAATAATGCTTTCCTAGGGGAAACTCTAATGCGAGCACCACCATTGAGGAGCGTGGGCGGAGGTAAGTGACAGAAGGGGTTATTAACCCCTTTTGCATCTGCGCCGGCGGAGGGCTTGACAGAGGGGGGAGCTTAAAGGGACACTATAGTCAGCAATATAACTTTAGCTTAATGGTTCAGTTTTGGTGTATAGATCATGTCCCTGCAGTCTCACTGCTCAATTCTCTGCCATTTAGGAGTTACATCACTATGCTTATGCAGTCTAGCCACACCTCCCTGCATGTGACTTACACAGCCTTCCTAAACACTTCTGTAAAGAGTCATCTAGTTTATACTTCCTTTATGGCAAATTCTGTTTAATGTAGCATTTCTTAACTCCTGCTCTGTTAACAGCTTGCTAGACCCTGCAGGAGCCTCCTGTATGTGAGTAAGTTCAATTTAGAGAGCTGATAATGCAAAATTGTAATGCCAGTTACGATCTGATTGAAAAAAAACATTTAAACAAATTATACAGACTGTGTGAGTCACAGCCATGGTAGGTGTGACCAGGACTGCATAAACAGAAACACATGTGATTTAACTCCTAATTGGCAGTGAATTGAGCACTTAGACTTCAGAGGCATGATCTAAACATAAAAACTGCGTTATTAAGCTAAAGTTGTTTTGGTGACTATAGTGTCCCTTTAAATCACAAAATTCAAAAGTTTTAGGTTGATAGAACTTGGCTTACAACAGTGCCTGAATCGAACTTCTTGCATGCTGGCACCATCCAGGTGGCGAGCTATCAAAGGTCTTGTCATCCACGTTTATTTAATGGGAAATGTTTCTTATATATTTGAAAAAATTAAAAAGTGCTCATAATTGTGACAATCACTAGGTTTTCACTCTGTAGAAATAAGCACAAAATGTTGCAGTTTGCGTCTATTGTAGCAACAAAATACAGATAGATTATGCTTGTTTAAAGTGAATCTATACTAATTCTGCACATTTTATGCAGACAATATTTTACTGTCAGTTTATGGCTATTGATAGACACACCAGGGCATCCTTGTCAGCTCATAGAATTGTATGACACCAAGGTCAGAGGCTCACTGCTGATTCTCTTTATGTTTATTGGCATTTCTATCAGTCTTTTGGATGGAGATGTCAAGGAATCCATTGCCTCTCTTCTGGGATGCTTTTGGGTCTCTTTGCTTTTGACCTGGCTTTCCAATCTCTTTGAACTTAACCATTCTCTCAAACAAATGCCCTCTTTAGAAAACCCCTGCCAAACTAAAAGGTGGAAGTGTCTCTGGAGAAAAAGGAATCATCCACAGTGACATACATTTAGGCTTTTAATGATTTTTTTTTTTTTTTTTAAGACTAGACTATGCAGCAATCAATGACTGGTTATCTGGGGACTCATTAAGTTGAATTTGTAAGTGAAACCTTAGGCTGTACTGTAAGCAATGCATTTGATGTCCCAATTGACCCCTTTTTCTATCCCCTTTTCCCATTTCTTTGGTGGACTTTTTTCAAATGGCAGCAAACAGCACTATTAAGCATCCTTAACTTTTGCCCGGAACTGCAGTACCTTAACCTTGGCAGCTGTGTATTGGTGAGTACAATGTCTACATAACACACAAAATTAAATATTTATACACACTTATAGTAAGTAATCATTAATGTATTTATAAAAAGTTCAACTATGCTTCATAGGACGCCAGATCCCCACCAGATAGCTGCTAGTAAATGTATCCATCTGTTTTTGCTGCATATGACGCCTCCCCATAGTCCCGTGGTCCTTTGCCTGCATCAGCAGTGCATTGTAATAAGGTGCCTGAAAGCAAACGGTTAATATACTGCATGACACCCATTCACTACATAGAGATGACAGGGTTTTTATGAAGATACCTACACTGACTAAGTTCTTGCTGTAATGGCACATGTGCAAACTTTGCTTGAGACCTGAGCAGGGCCTAATCAAAGGGCAAGCTATTTAACTTTTGACCATTCTCAGTATTCTCATATCTTCCATAGATTCTTTGCTCATTCTTTCTAGGGAGGTATCGGTTACGGTTAACTAAACGATCATCCAAGGCCAGCTTTTTAGATCTGAGCTGTCCTTGTGGGTACGGTCAGTCTGATATGCCCAGACACCTGAGTAAGGACTAGCATAAGGGCAGGCTGTTACATTTTTGTCCTTTTTCAGTGTTCTATCTTCTGTTTGTTTTTGTTTCGATATACTCATCTAATGTAAATGGAATTTCCTTCTGTACATCTTACTTGGTGATAATCTCTATCATGCTAGCTTTTTAGATAAGAATATATTTATGTGTTGTTATTTTTGTATTATTAATTTCTATATTGATAGATTGAAGATTATGATCTAGTAGCTGGGGTCATTGGAGCCAAGTGCAAAAAACTGAGATATTTGGACCTGTGGAGATGTAAAAACATTACCGAGAGAGGAATAGCTGAATTGGCTTCTGGCTGCCTGCTCCTTGAAGAACTTGATCTTGGGTGGTGTCCTACATTACAGAGTGCTACTGGATGCTTTGTAAATCTTGCACGGAAACTTCCAAGGTTGCAAAAGCTTTTTCTCACAGCTAACAGGTCTGTGTGTGACACTGACATAGAGGAATTAGCAGCTAATTGTCAGCATCTTCAGCACCTTGATATATTAGGTAAGGAATATAAAACCATATTTTCTATATAAAATGTCATAATTTGATGGTTTGAAATTCTGCCTTTTATGACATCTATGTGATTTAAAAGAAAATGGTCAATGTACAAACAATATTTGCAGGAGTTTTCAGCCTCTGTTAACCACTGGCAGTCCGGAATCATTTTAGTTTTCTCATTAAACGTCACAGCGCTAAACCAGTTTCATGGGAGAAAAAAAAAGAGATTTGTGCGAAGCTTAAATTAACATTTTTGTTCTCTATTAACAGAAGCAGAGGGCACATTAATAAAGAGCTTGCTATGTCTAATATATGTTATATATGCATTTCTATTAAATTGATGAGGAATTATATAATGAAAATAAATGAATACCAGAATCAGAAAAGGGCATGTACTGTAATATAAACAAAATAGTGGTAGAAAATCTTAACTACTTCCCAACGCTACGCGGTTTTACAATAGTAGGGTGGCATAGCACGCCCTGCGATCTGGCCCTCCCTCCAGCCCACCTTTTTACAAAGTATGTGGATCGCGATTGGGGGACCTTCCCAACAATCCAGGTAGTCCCCCTGCAGCCAACCCAGCTGGCACCTCAGCTCAGTGACAGCCTGTTGCAATGTCTGGTTTGTAACATCGGCTGAGAAAATGTTCTATGCCCCTCTCTTTCCTCACTTTGATCTGAGGCAAAAGAGGCAGATAGATCATTACTACAGTGTGTGGAAAAAGTGTGGGCGGGATCCATTTTATTTTAACCATTTCAATTCTGATCACAGTATTAAATATAGTATTAAATATTTAGAGTCACAAATAATTTCTTTTTTGACCCTTTTTTGTCAACTACAGCAGTTTTTAAACATTTTAACCCCAACAGTAAATACAGCAATTTTATTTTAATCTTTGGATTTGCTGTAGGGATTTGGGGATGGGTGAGGAAGTGGGAATTAGGCAATTAAATTTAAAATCCCCCTAAGATGGCACTCTGTTATACTGGCAAGCTCAGACAGTGACATTATGATAGCCACTAAGCAACTCCTCATTGCTGGTGCCCCACCATCATCTACAAGAAGACACTTAGGAAGCCCTGCGGTGCCAGATGAAAGCTGTGTACGCCCAAGCTTTACTGCCAGGAAAATAGCCCCATTCATAGCAACACCTGACATCAGAACTGTAGATTTTTGTAAGCCAGTGAACTATTGTAGGCTAGCCTATTTAATATTTAGTTTTACCACCTTGCTCTAAAAGGTCTGCACTCCCTGCCATCCATTATATATAAATGAGATTTGCTGTGAAAAAAACACAAAAGCTAATATACCAAATGTGGCCAGCATTTGTGATAAAGTGGCTATACCAAACAACTTAAAACATTGGGAATACCTTGGATTGCTTACTTTAAAAAATGATATGCCATCATAGGGTCTTTTTCTTTGCTGGGCTGCTATACTGCCTCAAAGGTGCCATAAAATCTCTCTACCTAGTTGAAAAGGGCATCTAATGTATTTGGCCCTGTGACTTTTCCCCAAAAAAAACTGGAAAACCAGTACATAGGGGGAATTGTTGGTGATTATGAATTGTCCTGTATCAAAAATGGATTTCATGTGTGTGAATAAAGGCAAATAAAAGTTCCTTGGATACAAATAAAAAGTAACACCACTAAATGGGGCCTGCATTTGTGATGAAGCGACTACTTTGTCTTGTATTTAAAAAATAAAGACTACTCAAAATATAACATTTGGAATCATCTGTGTTGCCTACTTTTGAAAATGGCATGCCATAATGGTGGAAATGTTATTACCAAGGCTGCCATACTCTTTCAAAGGCGACATAAGCCTAGAAAATCACTTGAGTGTTGAGTGTTCTAGAGCAGGAAAACATATGACGATATAATCAGTGAAATTTCAGTTTTTGTGTGAACAATTGAAAAAACAAATATGAACACTAACTTTGGCCAGGGGCTGTGTCTAAGTAGCTACTAAAAAAAACTGGACATACCCCATATGAAATACCTGGATTGTCTACTCTTGAAAATGGTATGCCATGATGGGGGTAAATCTCAGTCCTGGGCTGCCATACAGTCTCAAAGGCAGCATAAGTCCAGCAATCTGGCGAATTTTTATGTGTAAAAACTGAAATGGGCCAGCTCTTTATTTGACTCTGTAACTTTCCAAAACCCCATAAAACCTGTGTATGGGGGGCATCGTTGTACTTGTGGGAGATAACGACATAATATTTGTAATTTTTTTTGCAGTCAAAGCTAACAGTATTATGGCATTCACAGTTAAAACACCATTATTTTAACTATGTAGTCTTTGAATTTGTATCTATAAACCTGTAAGATAAGCCTACATAATATATTTGCTAGTTTTGGCTATTCACAAACTGTCTAACAACTGAATCTTACTTATTTTTTGATCCAGTGCCCCTGATACAGACTGGGGGAATTGCACTCAGAGCCTTAAGCCTCCCTTAGTCTACATAACTCTGCCTAAATTCCTCCCTTTTTCTTTGTTCAATACCATAAGCCCTACTCTTACCTTGGAGGCGTCTTATATATTTATTGAACATTTTGGTTAAATTCTGGTACAGTTTATCTGGAACTATTATCAAACGAATTTCACAGATACGGGGAGATATGTTTGAATATAACAGGGACTCATTCATCTCAGTGCTGTTTCAGTTCGATTGATAGTGAAAATCAGAAGGAAGTTGGGATAGATGTCAATCTTTTGATAATTATATCATGGGGGACATCCATTCCTGATGGATCAGACTGCTTGATTTTGTCTTGTATTTAAAAAATAAAGACTATTCGTTGTCAAAGCCTGGGTACTTGAACTGTCTCTTTACAGTAACACTAAGTACCAAAACCACTACACTACATAGACCCTGTAAAACAGTGCTGATTCAGAGAAGTGGATTGGTAGATATTGCCGTGAATGCGCCATAGGTCTCTAATGCATTGGATTGGACATAGATAACATCGATGATCTCAAAAGAGGCTAAGTGGCTGCTAAGAGAGACTTTCAAGTTTATTAGCATTTTTTTTTTTTGTATTGATAATTTTAGAAGATGGAGCCAGTTAATCCAAATCATTAAAGGAACATAATAAGGTTAAATTAATGATATTTATTTTTAGCCCTAGTGTTTTTTTAAAATACACAAACTGTTGGACCTTTTAGAGTATTGAGTAAATGATTTAAATTGACTATAAATTTACATATAATTAAGTATATATGTTTGTGTAAATGAGTGTTAAATATTGTGTATATATGTATATATATTTTATGATATTTTTTTTTTTTCTTCTAGGTACAAGGATGGTAAGTGCTGCAGCTTTACGCAAGTTGCTGGAGTCTTGTAAAGGACTTTCCTTGCTTGATGTTTCTTTCTGTTCACAAATTGATAGCAGGGTTGTCCAAGAACTAACTTCCAGGTTTCCAAATGTATCCATAAAAAAGAGTTTTACGCAGTGAATTCTGCTCGTTACTTACAACCCAGTTCTTCCGGCTTTACATTCTTGCGAGATAAATCTGCTGTCCTGGAATCTGTATGCCGTTTAAAAAAAATAATAAAAAAAAGTGTAATACAAAATGTTTGCTGCTTGAGGACACAATTCCCTCTATTGAGTGCAATTTTTAAATAAACTTTTATTTTATTTTATTTTGCTTGGAGGACGGAAGTTTCATTTTTGAGCCAACTATGGCAGGCACACTCAGAAGAAAATACTTTATTTTAGTACTTACGTTTTCTAGTTGGATATCAATTGTTTATTATTCCAAATAAAGGAAACCTGTTAATATTTTTTTCCATTAGTGACCTTTGATGAGATTGTTATTCAGCCTCAAACATAGCAGGTAGGCAGTGTACAATGTACTTTGCATAAATTCCCATTTCACTTTGTAAGAGGCATTTGTTTAAAAAAGAAATGCTGTATTTATTTTGGATGTGTTGGGGGGATCACTAGCCATTTAAAAGCCATCCATTTTCCTGTATGACTTCTGACTTTACAAAAGACCTCTTGTCTTTCCACATATAACTAGCGCTACTGTGCAATTTGTCGCTTACCTTACATTCTACAGCTCTTTCATGAGTTTTTTTTTTTTACAAGTTTAGACATGGGTATTATGTCAGTCAACGTCTCTCCATTTAACCCCAACCCCAGACATATTCTCCTTACCCTTGTGTTTCTTCCTCCTAGGTTGTGAGCTATCTTGATCAGGGCCTTCTTTGCTTGTTGTATCTGTTGAAATTATTTTGTCAGATGCCTGCTGTTGTACATCACTGTTGTATAAATGTTAAGCACTGTGGATTATGTTGGCACTAATGATGTTAATGAATTACCAAGCTGGTTTGCCATATGAACCGATTAAGAGCAGTCTTCTAAAATAAGCTATTGCGCATCAAATGAGAAAATACAAATTGAAATAGCTGTATATAGGGCCAAGGAAATGTAAAAGATGGTTTATTATAGACGAAGAATGTAACTAAATTTTGTCTGAATTTGTGCAGTCTGTTATAACTAACATGAATATATAACTGTCCGATAGTAGCAACCATCATTTATATATATATATATATTATATATAACCGTATATTTTCACAAGGCAGACAATATGTAGCAAACTAAAAAGAAACGATGAATGAAATATTTCCGATTTTAGATAAGATCCTCAGGGTGTTTTGGTTCATACATCATACCCATACCAAGTGTTCCTCGACAGTAATGTTTATTTAAATGAGAGATAACATTTAGATAAAATATGTATTTCTGAATTATGGTTAATGCTTTTTGTATAATCTTGTTGCTATAGGGAGTCTGCATTTTATTGGAGACAAATGACTTCCATTAGTTTGTTCTTTCCTGTGCATGTTTTCATCTCACACCATGATTTAAGCTACAGCCACAGCACCGCAATCTTTAAATGAGCCAAGCATTCCATTTGTATATAGGATCTTTAAAGGTTGGTTTGTTATGATGGATTTCTTTTTTTGTCATCGGTCCTTCAAGGAGCACTCGAAGCACCATAACTGCTACATCCCCTTATCATTTATCTATCTATCCAACCAATAGGCAAAGCGGGACCAATGCAGGACCAAACTTATTTGGCAGGCTGCTTTGCTCTATAAAGACATCCGCTTCTGCTACTGGAGAAGACCAGATCAGGACACTTTGCTGGACCCCATTAAGTTGTCAAACTGTGATAGAACAGTTTGAGCTCTTACAATGCAACAACTCAGCGGTACTCCTGATACTGTAGCCCCTGCAGCAAGTTGTAGTGTTTATGGTGCCTGGATTGTTCTTTAAAGGGGTTTATTCACAGCGTTTTGCAGTACTAAATGCATAACCAATTAAATAATTTTTGGAAACATTTTATCTTTTCTTGGTTAAAGGGGCACTATAGTCACCAGAACAACTACAGCTTATTGAATTTATTCTGGTGAGTAGAATCATTATCTCCAGGCTTTTTGCTGTAAAAACTGTCTTTTCAGAGAAAATGCAGTGTTTACATTACAGCCTAGTGATAACTTCACTGGCCACTCCTCAGATGACTTTTAGAAATCCTTCCTGGGTCATGGCTGCCTAAAATGCATCCAAACATTCAGTGTCTCCTCCCTCTGCATGCAGATACTGAACATTCCTCATAGAGATTCATTGATTCAATTCATCTCTATGAGGAGATGCTGATTGGCCAGTGTTGTGTTTGAATCATGCTGGCTCTACCCCTGACCTGCCTCTTTGTCAGTCTCAGCCAATCCTAAGGGGAAGCATTGTGATTGGATTAGGCTACCACTTCTGATGATGTCAACAGACTGCTTGTTTTTTTTTTGTTGTTTTTTTTAGGCAAACAGCATGCAGATCTACAGCTCCTGGCTTGAATACAGTAATATTTTGCTATATTTATGGAGGCATGTGGGGCCCAGAGGAGGGCTAGATGGTGGTTTTAACACTATAGGGTCTGGAATACATGTTTGTGTTCCTGACCCTATAGTGATCCTTTAACCCCTTAAGGACCAAACTTCTGGAATAAAAGGGAATCATGACATGTCACACATGTCATGTGTCCTTAAGGGGTTAAAGTTCATATTAAGTCATTACAATGCATTATAATCCCAATAATATAAGATTATTAGGGTTAAATTTAATTTTACACGTACTTATCTGTTCATCATTGAGTGAAATGCATTGAACATAGTTTATTTAGCAGGTTATTCACTAAGCACCAAACTATTGTGAATTGAAAATCTAATTGCACATTTTTGTTTACAATAAGAAAGGGGTGTCTGTAGATAATTTGCACATTTTGACTAAATTTGGTAATGTGGTTTTCAGTTCATTTCAATTTAGAATTTAGTGAATAAGCTTCCTGGTGTGTTAAGTATTTACAATCATCAATGTCTGTTCAATGATTATAAAGCAGTACTGCAGTGTTCTCATGATGAAAATAAATGACATTGAACATAAACTGTAAAGAAAAAAATGCCTTAGGTAAAACTGTAAACATAAAGTATTCAAATACTTCAAAGGGGACAATCTGATCACCATAATCACTACATCTTATTATGCAAGTATTTGGGTGCATTCACACTGATTTTGGTTTAGAACATGGATTTTGTCAAACAGTTGGGTAAGACCTAGGACTGCACCCAAGAACTCCTTCACCCAAACACATAAGTTGTATGGTTATATTGCTTATAGTGTCCACAACGCAGCCAAGAATAAGAAACGACAATGAGACTACGCTAGCAATGTGTAACATATATGGTGTAGTGCAACAGGATTGAATTTGTACTTTAATATTCTTTTTAACGTTATCTATTGGCAAAATAAAAATAAAAAAATTAAACAAACTCTTGTGTTCTTATTATATATATTCTAGCACATATTTAATTGCAAAAGATTAATGCAAGATTTTGTCGCCCTATTGAGCTATGAAATCTGTATAAGTCTGCCAGCTCCAATGCTTGTAACACTATTGTATGAAAAACGTTGCTTACAATCACTGGAATTTTTTTGTATCAGATTTTATTTGATCAACAAACAAACTTAACAGTCAGTAAAATTATTAGTGCATTTGCTTGAATATAAGATGACAGTATCTTACAATATTGGAATCTTAAAGGGACACTCTAAGCCAGTGTTCCCCAACCCAGTGTTCATGGACCACCAAAAGTCCAGGTTTTGTCAGTATCTCCATTGGAATAAAACAGGGACACACATAAATCCTGGACTGTTGGGCCATGAGAACTGGGCTGGGGAACGCTGCTCTAAGCAACTACAGCTCACAGTAATAGTTATGTTGCCTAGAGCAGGGGTTTGCAACCTATGGCATGTAAGACTTACAGACCCAAAATTGGCATCTTGGGGAGATTAGTGGATCTCCCAGTTGGGCTGGAGTGTCCCTTTTTTTTTGAATGCAAGGGAGTCTGTGGTCTGTACTTCTAACAGGTGCAGATACCGCCGCTAGCCATTCCATTGTCTCACTAGAAAAGTGCTAGAGTAGAACCGGAGACAAGTAGTTAGCACAGACAGAGGGTGTAGACCACGTGCTTCAACCAGCAGGGAACAACAAGTATTCATGTTCCTCACCCTGACAAAAGATAGGCAAAAGGGGCACCAATACATAACTCTGCAAGCAGTCACCCCACCTACACATACAAGAACTACAAACACCCTATGTACACATAATTAACGTCATAAGAAGCCTGCATACACCCAGTACTAAAAACAGTTAACATACACCCAAACAGCAAGGTCAGCCTCCACCACATACACACAACACCAAAGATATCTGCAATCACACATTCAAACAATACAATCAACCCACACTTAAATCACAAACGGTCCTAGTGTTGCCACCTGACCGGTATTTTACCGGCACAGTTGGTATTTGGGGCTATGTGGCTGGTGCTGGTATTGCAGGAATACCGGCAATGCAGTGGCCAGTATTTCTGTCTTCTGGAACTCTGAGAGGCTCTCCCAGATCTGCAAGTATCTCTGCCAAAGCTCCCTGAGACAGCCAGAGTGAGAAGAAATACTCAGGCAGAGTAGTAGAGATACATACTGGGAGATCCTCTCAGATCGATATTTAGCTCCGCCCCCTTACTCCTGCTTTGTCTCCTCACTGACACTCAATGAGGGGTGCTCTTCTGAGTGTGCTGTGGCTGCCTCCTGCTTGCCTGCCTTCCCAGCACTCAACTGGTTTTAGGCAGAGCAGCTTTTTTCAGCTCTGCAGTGTTCACCCTCTCCCCCGCCCCACCTCCATAGGACACAAAGATATAACTTGTAAGTAGCCTGGTATTTCTGCAGGGAGTGTTTATAGAGGGAGAATGAGAATCTTCAGTTATAAAGATGGGACATAGAATAAATGTTTGTTTTTATATTTATTTCTTAATTGTATGCCGGAGTCAGAATGTCTCTGTATGACTATGTCAGTGTCTGTATGATTGTATCTTAATGCCTGTGCCTGTATTTCTTTGTATGAGTGTGTATGTCAGTGCCTGTATGACTATCTCAATGCCTGTGCCTCTATGTCTCTGTATGACTGTGTATGTTAGTGTCTGTATGACTGTATCTGAGTAACTGTATGACACTGGATCTGTATATCACTATGTAACTTTCCTCTTCCAAATGTTACACAACATCTCGTGTCGTTATGTCACGCATACATAATTATGCAAATAAGCATGACCGGTATTGTTTTCCAACAAAGGTGGCAACGCTAAACGGCCCTCTTAATTACAAGAGCACAGATAACCCACACACATACAACAAAATAACAATACAGAACAGGCAGCCTACATATACATACATGATCACAGAGTCCACATGCATACAAATAGCACCCACAAATTTTAAACCAAATTTTTGTGTGCGCTGTAACTAAATGTATGTGTACATGCATAAAACCTCACAAAGCAGCTGCTGCACACATGCATAACACAAGCAGAACTCTCCAACATACATAAGATTTACCTTTAAAAAATAGGACCGGCAACCAGGGGCGTACCTAGAGCATTTGGCACCCGGGGCGGACCCTGTAAAAAATGTTGAAGGTTTTCTCTCTTTTTTTTTTACAATTTGTAAACTTTGCATGCAAAACCGTTGTCAGCCCCTCCTACAAAACCCTTGTCCTGCCCCACCCCTCCTACAAAACCTCTGTCCTGCCCCTTCTACAAATCCTGTACTGCCCCGTCTACAAAACCCCCGCTTATCCCCCCTTATAAAGACTCCTGTCCCAATACAAAACCCCAGCCCCCTTCTACAAAATCCCTGCAGCCCCACACACACACATTTACATGCAGACAGTCACACACTCAGTTACAGACAGACAGTCACACACACACTCGGTTACAGGCAGACAGTCACACACTCAGTTACAGGCAGACAGTCACACACAGTCACAGGCAGACAGTCACACATACACATTTCCTCCGTGCGGCCAGTTTATCAGCTGTTTGCTTGTGTGAGCTGTACTGGCCGCACGGCACCCTAACTACCATGGGACACTGTGCGGCCACAGCTCACACAGCTCCCTCCAGCCAGGGCCGGTACAAGGATTTTTGCCGCCCAAGGCAAAAGTAAAGTTTGCCGCCCCCCATGTGACATGACAATGCCCCAGCCATATGATTTGCCATGTTAACTAACGCCAGTGCTGCAGTGCCGCCGTGTTTACATTAAAAGGCCTGCAGGGACAGGCTATAGACACCAGAACCACTACATTAAGCTGAAGTGGTTCTGGGACTATAGTGTTTCTTTAATGTGAGGTAAATTAGAGCTTAGTGCCACGAATAATATACTAGATTGCCTACTTACAACCAGATGATGGGCTCTAGCTGCAGTCTGGCTCCACTGGTCTGGTGCAGAACAGGCTCTCTGGAGGCGGTTTGTAACTGTGGTCACAAAAATCAATGTTCTGGGAGAACGGGAAGCAGCTCCATTTTTTGGGGTCCTTTACACAGCTCAAGGTCTGGGTCCCAGGGTCCACCTTCATATTCCACCAATGAGTTTGTTCACAGGGGGTGGAGTGTGTAAGGGATGTCCTGATATGTGTGTAAGGAATGCATTATGTGAAATTGTGTTTGTATGTGTAAGGGCTGCAAGGTGTGTTTCTGTGTATGTATGGGATGCATTGAATGTGTGTAATGAATGCATTGTGTGTTTCTGTGTGTGTAAGGGATGCATTGTGTGTAACGGTTGCATTGCTTGTGTATGTGTGTCTGTGTGTGTAATGCATTGTGTGTTTTTCTGTGTGCAAGGGGTGCATTGTGTGTATGTGATGAATGTCACTCTCTCCTCCCGCTCCAATTTCCTTCTCCTCCTCCCAATTTCTCTTTCTCACCCCCCTCCTAATTTCTCTCCCCCCCTAATTTCTCTTTCCCCCCTCCTAATTCCCTCCCCCCTCTAATTTCCCTCCTAATTTCTCTCACCCCCCCATTTCTTTTTCTCCTCTCTCTCACCCCCCTCCCCTACCTCCCTGTAGCGTGGCCGATCCCAGTATAGCCGGCGGGTACAGGGAGCTTTTGTTTCCTGTACCCGGCCGGACTAACAGGAAGTGAACACTCAGTGCACTTCCTGTTAGTCCGGCCGGGTACAGGAGACAGCTGCTCTCTGTACCCGTCGGACTATGCTGCAGCAAAGGGAGTGACAGGAGGGAGCGCTGAGCGCTTCCCTCCTGTCAGCCCCTCTCCTCAGGCTGCGCCCGGGCGGTGCGGTCCGCCCTCATGGACGCACCGCCCGGGCAAAGCTGCAGCCGCCTGAGGCTCTGTACAGAGCTCGGCTGCAGCATGGGGGGGGGGGGCCGGTCATGGCACCCCCCACCCTGGTGGCACCCGGGGGGGACCGCCCCCCCCCGCCTCCCCCTTAGTACGCCACTGCCGGCAACCAAACGGAATTCAGAACTTTATTTTGACATAGCACTACCAAAAGGCTGGGTACCCCTGGTCTAGAGTGTCCATTGCACTGTACTCCTATTTATTGTCATACATTCCCAGTGTCTGGAAACACCCTTTCCACAACCACACTAAGAATGCAGACTTAACTCTTCTGCTTTGTAAACATCAATTTCTTCCAGCCTAGACAGCATTGATTGGCTGAATGTGGACAAACTTGACATTGAAAAAGCACAAGTATTAATCCTATATTATTGTGTAGGTTGGTATCAGGTTGCTAGTAAGAGCTATCTCTAATGTGAAAATGCTCCTAAACAGTTTGACAGTAAACCAAAAGACAGTATCAGGACTCTAGGCAGCATACCCAGTGCAGTAAGCTGTAGTGCTTAGTGTCCATTTAAAAAAACAAAAAAAGCCTAATATTAAGTGATTGTATGTATGAATGTGTGTGTGTATGTATGTGTATATATAATATAAAATGTAATTTTTGCATGGGCTTATAGCTCCAGGTCACACATATAATTTACATATTTCAGTTCTGCTTCACCCTCCGACCACCCATCACTCATGTCTCACCAGTATCAATTATTCACTTGCACATACCACATCAATCATTTAAACAGAATGTAGGACCATCATGGACTCTGGCAAACCATTACAAACGCTCTGTCAGATCAGAGTATCCAATATAAGGAACAGGAAGGGTGAGTTTAAAAAGATTCCATGGCAGCATTCTGCATCAGTCCCAGCTACTGAAAAATACAGCTTCCATTTTCCACACATAACAGGCTGCATGCACATAACAGCACTTGTAGTCCATTTAGTTTCTAAAAAGGTTACTAGTAACCTGGAACCAAGTATGATATTTGCAATCCTCCCAAGAACAGTCTGGACTCCAAATAGAGGGTACAATTCACTTGATCACATGTTGACTAGATATACATAATAAAGGTGATCAT